TCGTGTCAACATTTTATTTTAAAAGCTAATAGTCTAAACTTGGTCTCAAAATTATCCCTATAAATATTACTTTGAAAAAATAATTCAAAGTAATTTCAAAATTTTCATCTGTAGTAATGGAAAAAAACTTTATTTAGCGGCAAAAAAATTTTTATCTGGACTAAAACAGTTATTCGCAAAGAACTTAATAACGCAAACACTTAGCAAACGTAAATCCGTACACTTCATCCCAGTGAAACGTCGACCGGCGGTAGAGAACACGGACCAATATCTGCCATACTTAGCGAGAAACCCGTTATGGGCCCGTGACCCGCAGTGGGCTCGCTGCCCCATGTTACCCTATATAGTATATGCTATATGGTATATGATATATAGTATATGGTATATGGTATATTGTATATGGTATATGATATTTGGTATATGATATATGACATATGGTATATCATATATGGTATATAGTATATGGTATATGATATATGTCATTCCTTTTCTTGATCTCAGCATCAACACTTCTGGCAGTTTTACAGGCTCAGGAATAAGAATTTTATAATAAATAAAATCAAATCTCTCTGGCACATCCTTGAAACAGTTTCCGTTATCCTTCAACACCTTAAGAAATAGAATGAAGAACAGACCATTTAAATCTTTCCCGCTCTTAAAATCACTAGGCACCTCGATCCTCAGCGCTACGGAAGGAACATGCAGGAGTACAGGTTGTAAGTCATTCTCTTCGTTCCCTGAATACCTTCAACTTGTTCACATGATATGTTCATTCAGAATCGTTGACTCTAATGACATTATCAACCTTATTGATCCCATGATCCGTCTCGCTACTTTGAAAGCCCCTAAAACGTTCTGCCAATATTCTTGGCGCTAGTAGGAAGCGATGACAAAACCATTTCCCCAACCTTAAACTTTCTACTAGAGACACTTTAATCAATGGTAACTTAGTAGAACGACTACATTCAAACCACACCCGAAAAATGCTCCCTTACTCTATCCTTTGCCTTCTGAACGCCCAAGTGTCCAGCGATAATGCAGTCATGCTAATTTCATTACTTTTTCGTAATCTCTGAAGGCAACACGATTTATTTAAGTATATTAAAAACATCACATGCTGTCTCGTATTCATTACATCGTTCTCTATAATGAAAATGCTGGCAAATTTATTGAGTTTGCATCTAAAAGTTGAAATACTTCTACAATATTTGAATCGTCGCTGCAAAGCATAATCTTGGGTTTTTATTGTAGTTAAATCGAAATAAGCGATATCCAATGAAGGGTGGTAAAGTTCCCGCATGAGATTCAACACGTTCCTAACTCCTATAGTTCGACCAGCTCACGGATTCGGAACAGTATATTGATCTATACAGGCACTGCAGCAGCAATATTTTCATTACAAACTTCAAAAAGTAGTTCATAAATGCAGCAGCATCTGTCATCCATTGTAAAGATATATAGTCCGAATTGACACGATCGAGGTTTGTGAGAAATTATTGTACGGTTATCTGCTAATGTAAGACATAGATTCTTACCAGTCATTTGGTTTCCTGGCATGATAATTAAGTGGCTTCCTGACAAGGATTGTGCAGGGAGCATTCGTATCATTCGTAGGTTTGTTCCATCGCAAACAAATATTACGCTTGTTTTGATCTGCAGGCAAATGAGAAGGACTGACAACAGCATTAATAGTTTAAATGTTACAGGTAAGGAGACCAGGAAGGAGACAGCAGTTAGCTCAGGCGATGAGAGCGACTCTGCTCTGCCCTGCGACAATACAAGAATTATGTTCATCAATTAAAACTCGTTCAGCAAAAATCAAACTAATTGCGTTACAAAGAAAATCACGTAAACACTAATAATATATATATTCATTAATTATATAGCACCTCATTTATCCCACACAAAACACACACGCATATACACAGCCTCATTAATCCCACACAAAACACACACACACAAACAGCCTCATTAATCCCGCACAACACACACACAGCCTCAATAATCCCACACAGAACACACACACAGCCTCATTAAACCCACACAAAACACACACACGCACGGCCTCATTAATTCCACACAGAACACACATCCNTACAAACTGCAGTGTCATTCCTCCAGACGTACAATCTGCAGCGTCATTCCCCAAAATACACAAACTGAAGTGTTATCCCTCCAGACGTACAAACTGCAGTGTCATTCCTCCAGACGTACAATCTGCAGCGTCATTCCCCAAAATACACAAACTGAAGTGTTATCCCTCCAGACGTACAAACTGCAGTGTCATTCCTCCAGACGTACAATCTGCAGCGTCATTCCCCAAAATACACAAACTGAAGTGTTATCCCTCCAGACGTACAAACTGCAGTGTCATTCCTCCAGACGTACAATCTGCAGCGTCATTCCCCAAAATACACAAACTGAAGTGTTATCCCTCCAGACGTACAAACTGCAGTGTCATTCCTCCAGACGTACAATCTGCAGCGTCATTCCCCAAAATACACAAACTGAAGTGTTATCCCTCCAGACGTACAAACTGCAGTGTCATTCCTCCAGACGTACAATCTGCAGCGTCATTCCCCAAAATACACAAACTGAAGTGTTATCCCTCCAGACGTACAAACTGCAGTGTCATTCCACCAGACGTACAAACTGCAGCGTCATTCCTCCAGACGTACAATCTGCAGCGTCATTCCCCAAGATACACAAACTGCAATGTCATTCCCCCAGAAGCATAACTCCCCCAACTTGGCCGTCCCCCAGACTCACTAACGATCACGAAATGCAAACAAATGATTAGGTCAATAACAATTCAAACGATTTAAATGCATAACTATACGATGCGTGACTATACGATATATAACAATACGATTTATGACTGTCCGATACATAACTATATGATGTATGACTGTCCGATACATAACTATATGATATATGACTATGCGATATACGATGTATGACTACAGGTATTAAAAACACTTGTTTGCTTAAATCGCAAAATTAACAGGAATTTAAAAGCAAAGAAAATCACCAAAAAGTTCATTATTTCTTATTAGAGAAAACGTTTCTGAGTCCAGCTCCATCGTCAGTTCAAAACCTAGAACACAGGTACAAACAATTAGTAATCTAAAATTCATATTAAAAAAATCACCTAAACTTAAGGACATTAGAACCATTGAATTTGAACATTTGCGCAGTATCTTTTCACTAAATGGGTTTCCATCACAATTGGTGTATACTCAAATTAAGAAATTCTTGGCTAAGCAATATGCTGAGGTTGTTCCCGAGCTTGACGCTAGGAATAGTGTCACTTGTTCTTTTCCTTACTTTGGCCCCGCTTCTGAGACAATGGCAAAGGAATTTAAATATCTAAATATTTATTCACTAAATACCTCCCGAATGTAAATTTTCATATATTGCTGGTGAACAATTTTAAAATTAGCTCGTTTTCCTAGTACAAAGATCCTATCCCTGTTCTTATGCGATCGTCCATATTTTATCAATATATTTGTGCGCAGTGTGCATCTGCGTAATTTGTACACTAGGCTTGCACAGCATATATAGGGGCAGGAGTTATAAAACAGGGAATATACTTGCGCATCCCCTCATTCAGCCGTACGTATTCATGCCGAGCAGTGCAACGTCCCGGTGTCCAATAGTGACTTTAGAATTTTAGCTTTCATAACCGATGTTTCAGACTTAAGAATTTTAGAATCATTGTATATTTTTTAACAGAAGCCCAGTTTAAATGCTGCTTTTAATTCCTATCCTCTATAAATTGTTAATAGATAGTACCTTCTGCTCAAGTTGTCCCGTTTATGCTCGTTCTATTTTCTATTTTGGTTCTAATGTCCTTAAGTTTATGCGAATTTCTTTATGTGAACTTTAGGTTACTAATTGTTTGTACCTGTGTTCTAGGTTTTGACCTGACGATGAAGCTGGACTCCGAAACGTTTTCTCTTATAAGAAATGACGAAATTTTTGGCGATTTTCTTTGCTTTTAAATTCCATGTATGACTATCCGATATATAACTATACGATGTATGACTCTCCGATATATACGATGTATGACTATGCGATGTATGACTGTACGATGTATGATTATGGCGCCCAAGTACGGTGCCCACGTACGGCCCACGTACGGCGCCCAAGTACGGCGCCCACGTACGGCCCACGTATGGCGCCCAAGTATGGTGCCCACGTACGGCCCACGTACGGCTCCCAAGTACGGCGCCACGTACGACCCAAGTACGGCGCCCACGTACGGTGCCCACGTACGGCCCACGTACGGTGCCCACGTACGTCGCCCAAGTACGGCGCCCACGTACGGTGCCCACGTACGTCGCCTACGTACGGCCCACGTACGGTGCCCAAGTACGGTGCCCCCGGTCCCGTGCTGGGCAAGACTCACAGAGGTCCTTGCATGTCCTCCCGAGGGCGCTGAGGTCCAGGGGCGCCGCCATGCGGATGGAGAGCCAAGCGTCGCAGCCCACGGTCCCGTGCTGGTTAAGACTCACAGAGGTCCTTGCATGTCCTCCCGAGGGCGCTGAGGTCCA